TAACGATATTTCGATGATGCTTTTATGTTGATGATTGTTAAATAAGTCATATATTGCTTGATTATTCATGATTTATTGTTATTGCTTGATCACGCCATTTATGCAGGTTTAAGGAGAATTTGTACTTGAAATCACGCCTAATAAGATAATTAATAATTAGATTTAGGTTTAATATGATTTTATTTCAAATTAAAACCAATAATAGATTTGATTGTGCATTAATAATCAATTACCGTAGATTAAATAGATTTATGATTAATTTAATGTATGTATGTTGATAAAAAAAAGTGCACATGAATATCATCAGAATTAAGTAGAGGCCTATTTAGGGCGGGTTCAATCACTTTTAGGCTAGATTCGACCCATAATACCCGAACATCCAGTCATGGTTCCAGACCACTATGGAGTTAGCAATCTTTGTGATTGTGAATGAGGTGTAACTTTCACACCCGTGAACGGTTTACAAGTTCCTAAACTTTGTTGGCGACTCTTTTATTTCTAGCTTCTTTCCCTTAGAGCGCCGCCATGCTTAAAAACATGACCCACGGTAAGGCGGGAGTTGAAAAATTCCCTACATTAGCATAAACCTGATATGAGCTAACTATTTGGTTCCTTCCATGGAAATCTCAGTATCACTACAATTTTGACCAATATTATTGCTAATGTTTGGATCTTGTGATATGACATGGCACACAACACTTTGAAATGTATCAAGGACAAAAAGAAATCTAGTATGATGGCTATCCTTAGGCTTGAGTATCACTGTTTTGGGAGGCTTTTATGATCAGGGGCGGAGGGAAGAGGGGCTGGTGGAGGCCCAGCCTCCCCGGCCCAGATTTGTAGTTTATGTTTTCTATACTGTGGCCCCCCTAAAATTATTACATATAGGAAATTTTGCAAAAAAATCACCTTTTAAATCTTGTTTTTTGCAAATAACCACCTTTAAAAAAAATGTTGCAAAAGACCACCAATTTTAAAAATTTTGTTGCAAATTACCACTTTTTTAGCCAAATTTATCACTTGTTTTACATTGAATTGGTGGTAAGTTGCAACAAAATTTTTAAAATTGGTGATTTTTTGCAACATTTTTTTTAAAAGGTGGTTAAATGCAAAAAACAAGATTTAAAAGGTGGTTTTTTGCAAAATTTCCTTACATATATTATTAAAGAGACATAAATTTTAGTAAACAAGGCTTGTTATATTGGTTAAGGAGTAGTGTTTTTTTCATGAGGGAGTTGGGATTGAATCCCATCCCAAACAATTTTTTTTAAGGCTTTGTTTATTCAATTTGGGCATGGGTTTTTTTCAAATAAAGATTACTGTATTTATATTATTTAATAAATTTGGCTAATTTTTTGTAATTGAGTGGCACTTTAGGCTAATTGCTTACATTTAATATGAAATACAAACTTTTAGGATTATATCCTAGTTAATTTGATAATTATTGTTTTTGTATTAATATCATGAAATAAAAAACACTAGATTTTTTTATATATAAAAGTTAATAAGAGATTGCGGTAATTATTAGTGTTGAATCTTTATTGATGATTTTGCTATTAGAAAAATCATAGAGTAAAATTTAACTCTTTTTTTTAGTAACAATAAAATATTAGTACAGTTTAATTTTTTCAATTATCTTTTAACAATCCGGCCCCCAAGACTTGAAAATCCTGGCTTTGCCCCTGTTTATGATACATGATCTTTGTTAATGTGCTTACAAATGCTATTTTTTTTATGTTAGGACGCAAACAACTACTTAACGTGTTGCTGTAGCTGCTGCTTTGTGAGTTTTAACCCTTTCTTAGACATTATTCTCAGCAGTGTTTTCCATAAAAATCACTAATTTGTGGGACTTATGAATAAATACTAACTACTTGTATGCAAAGGGGTAACAAATTTCTATGGCCAAGCTGTGTCTAATTTAGTTGCGGGAAGAAATTTGGAGAGCACCATTCAGAAAATTTTTGATATGGGTGGAGGAAGTTGGGACACGTGCTCCACGCGCTTTATAACAACCTTGAGATGACTATCGACTATTTTTACTATGTATGTCTATATAGTATTGATTCTTCTTTCATGCTCCCCCCTCACATTAATTCATAAACGAGCATACACTATGCTTGCTTCACTCTAAAATTCTTACAAAGATCTTAAGGTTAAAAAGTATCTTTGCAAATCCATCTTGTTACTGTATTTGACTTCAATAGTGCCTCTTATTTGGTTCTTTTGATAAAGAATGCTTTGCTTTGGTATTATGCCATCCATTGGACTCTGTTATGATTCTTTTATTGCAGCTGGAGGTGTTTTTTTCATTTATTCAGCATATATCTACAGAAAAGTTGTTTTATTAGATTGCTCGAGGTTTGGGTTTAACAACATATATGAAGTAATTCACTTTGTGTATGATTTTTATAAGGTGCGTGATGAAATTGAAATAGATCGTGAACAAGATTGAAGAAATTGAACTTATAAGAATCAACAATAGTAACCTTGGCAATACTTCCTATCTCATTTCATCTTATGTCATTGATTCTGTTAGACATAATAATATGTAAATATTATTTGTCTATAATTAGCTTTGTATAAACTAGTGTATTATTGTAAATCCTAATGGATTTAGGGCATATAAATTGTGCTTAATCAATAGAAATCCCTAAAGGAGTAATCTACTATCTTTCATGGTATCAAAGCAAATGTGATTCATGGTATGTGGAAATTCAAACACAAAATGATATCCAATGGGTCTTTTGAGAGGCACAAGGCACAATTTGTTGCAAATATCAGGGGTCAAGAGGTGGGTGTTGTTGATTGTGATGAGACTTTTAATCCTGCTTTAATACCGACCACTATTCAAACAGTTTTGAGCCTAGCTGTATCTAGACAATGGTCGGTTCATCAACTATATATATGTGAAAAATGCATTTCTCCACGGGCATTTGAAGAAAGTTGTGTATGTGCATCAACCCCCAGGATATGTCGATAGTAACCCTAAGATGTTTGTCTTCTTTGTAGGTATTTATATGGTCTCAAACAATCATCTCCAAGGGCTTGGTATCAAAGATTTGCATCTCACATTTTATCACTCGAGCTTGTCAACAATAAGAGTATGTTTCTCAGTCTCTCGGATTACTCACAGATGAGAAATACACAAAACACTCTCAGATTTTTAAATAATCACTCAACTAATGATCATTGCTCGTATACAACTAGGAAATAACATATGGGTATTTATGATAAAAATAGACTAGAAAAAATATACTTTATTTAAGGAAATAAAGTCCACGAACAAAAAAAATCTAATTCGACCAAAACTGTTGAGGCACAGCGTGCCTCAACTCCATAAACTTCAAAATAGTAAAAATCTGTCGAGGCACGGACGTGCCTTGTTGGAATTTCATGAGGCATGGACATGCCCCCTCTGGGCACAGACGTGCCTTGCCTAATATCATTAATTGAAGCCTCGCTGAGGCACAGACGTGCATAGTCAATCTTCAATACTCCTTCGTTGAGGCATGTCCATGCCTCCCTAAGGCATGACCATGCCTCTCTAAGGCATGACCATGTCTTGCTCTACTTCTTCCTAGTTCTCGACTCCAAGCTCCCAACTCAAGGCTATCGATTCAAGACACATTCCTTACAACACATGTTTCAACTAAGGTAAAGTATTGTATCCAACGAACTCACTGTATGTGAGTTTGTCCACAGAAACACATCATTTCCCAAACCAACCTTTGCTCTGCTCCTCCATTTCCTCATTATGGCTGCTCTCAATTCATGGAGTTTTAATCTCCTTCTTTTATTTGCATCATCATCATAGTCTGTTTTCTCTCTCTTGTTCTTCATCACTGCATTTATCACTTCAATTTAGTAATTTGATGGTAGATATAATGTTAGTGAAAAGTGAGATGCAAGAAAGAGAAAATTATGTAAAGGAAGGAAATGAGAGATAAGTAAAGTTAGGCTTGTCTTGCAATAACGGGGTGGTTGGTAACAAGGATAAGGAGAGAAGATAAAGATAGAAAATTAATAGGTGGATGAGGATAAATAATTATTATACCATATTTGGTATGTAATAATTGCGGGATAAATGATATAACTACAAAATTACCCTTATTAATGAACTTTTCGTTCTCTCTTTAGAATGTGTTTTATTCATCTAATTTTAACTTATTTAAAAAAAAATTCTGATTTAAATGTATTAAAATTTATTTTAGTGGTAATGTGACAATAACCCTTATCATGACATATTTGACCTGAAACAAATTAAATTAAGGCGAACAAAGTAGACCCATATACTTTCCATTTCATTAAGGGAAAATTGTTCTTTTTAAACCCATTTTCTATCTCTTTGCCACCTCTTGGTTATAGAAATAGAAGGATAACGGGGTAGTCTTTATCCATATCCTTATCCACACCTCTTTTTACAAACATTGCATTTTTCTTACCCTAACATCTGTTTCATTATCCCTCCCTTTACCCTCATAAACAAACATCATCTGAGCGTGCTCTTAGGTGAGAGGGAAATCTAAAGTAAAATGTGAATAATATTAAAATATAGTAGAAGTACATAGAAAAGAGAAAGAAATAATAATGTGGATCCTACCATCATGTGAAAAAGAGAGAAAATAGTGATGGATACCACACTTTAATTGTATCATAAGAAGCTTACTCTCGTAGAATACTAAAGGTGATCAAATGGCAAGTCAAGCCAAGAGTAAAAAAGTTTGCTCATTTTAGTCGAGTTGGACCTAAAATGCATGCCTAAAAATTAAAATATTAAAGTGAGGCTGACAGACTCTTAGGACCTTTTCGAGCCGGATCACAAAACTAACCAAAATGCTTGAAAATGCATGTCCAAGATGTGTAGGAAGAAAAAGAAAAAAAAATTGGGCGGAAAATTCTTGTCTAAAGCCCGTCCAAATTTGAGCCTTGTAAAATGAGAACATATAAGTATATAACGATTAGCAGTTTAAAATGCCTCGTAAAATGAGCACCGCGCTCGTAAAGAAAAATGAAAAAGTATTGGTCCCGCAATGGCCACAACAATTATTCTCCTCATAACCACGTAAACCATCCATCTAGTAGCTTCATCATCTAAGATCCTTCCAATAATGCACTCTAATCATTTGAAATTTTGAATAAATAATAAACCACGTTAATTGTGTGTTTATGTTACTATTTGTAGCTTTCTACCGAAACATAGACGTAAATCAAATAAATAAGCGTCTTCACTCTCTTGTCTAAATTTCTCAAATTCGACTCATCATTCCATTCGCAAAATGGCTATCGAAGTATGTGTCAAAGCTGCTGTCGGTGCTCCTGATATCCTTGGCGACTGTAAGCACCTCAAATTTTTTTAAAAAAATGTTTATCTACCTTAATTTTTGTATAATTTGGTGATTATTTGGGTGAATTTTGTGGTGATTATTCTATAATCATGATAATTTATTTAGGTCCATTTAGCCAAAGGGTTCTTTTAACATTGGAAGAGAAGAAAATCCCTTATCAGATGCACCTTATTGATGTTAGTAACAAGCCCAAATGGTAAAATTCAACCCTTATTTTTGTCATTTTATGATCAAAATTTTTGTGGGGTTTTTATTATCTTATAAATTTTCAATTTTTTGTGAAGAAATTGAGGTGGGTTTTTCTTTTATGTAATGATTGATTACTATTTTTTAATAATCATGAAGGTTTTTGGAGGTGAATCCTGAAGGGAAAGTACCAGTGGTTAAGTTGGATGACAAATGGGTTTCTGACTCTGATGTCATTGTTGGTCTTCTTGAGGAGAAATATCCTGATCCTCCTCTTGCCTCGAACCCTGAATTTTCATCTGTGTAAGTTTTCTTTTCATGTTTAGTTTGGTGTATGTTATCTGGATTTAGGGTACTAGTGTCGGAAATGGGTACGTGTCCAAGTATCGGATGTTATTTTATGATGTCTCAATAATTTTGATCTAAAATGGAGTGTCTAAGTGTCGTTACTTGTGTTGGAGTGTTCAGGGTTTTACAGAGGTACTTAAGGTGAAAATAATGTGTAGTCATGCGGATAACATATTTATACATGTTTTTATAAATTAGGGTCTGTTCACATTTACGAAACTGAATTGAATTGAATTGAATTGAATTGAATTGAACTGATTGAAGCTGAACTGAATTGAATTGAAATTAAGCTGAAGTTAACAAGCCCTTAATCAAGATTTTAAATGGAGCAAAACATGCTACATCTTGTTAAGAGAATGTTTGACTCAACCTTGTTATTGTCAATTGTGACTTAAGAATGAAAACAAAACTTGTTTTTTCTGTTAAATTTATTTTCTTATGACATGTCTTATCGACTCTTTTAGAGGCAGATATCAAGATTATAGTCAACAGGTTATGAAGGTATTAGTCAATAAAATCAAGTTCATGTTATTTGTGACCCAAATGAACTGTTTTCTTTTGGTCAATGATGTATACTTCATAGCATCTGTGTGAGTTAATTCATTGCATCACAAGGGAAATTCTCAAAATTTACTGTTTATTATGGCATCATAAGACTGTGAGTGTCGCCTCGCGAATCACAATTTTGAGATCATGTAATGATGAAATTAAGGGTCTGTTCTCTTACATTGAAATTCAGTTCAACTCAATTCAGTTTAGCTCAGCTCCTAATTTCCTTCTCTTATAAAATATTTATTTCAATTCAGTTCAGTTCAGTCAATGAGAACATGCCCTAAGTTTCATTTATTTAGCTGTTTTGTTTACCGTGTTTGTTATGTAGTAGCTAGGCAGCTAGCCAACCGATGGTTTCTACTCATGAACTAGGGAGTGAAAACGTCTAAGCTCGTAGGGATTTTTGGAACCTCGTGACAAAGTCAGATTTGGTGAATCTTGACGGAGTCACAATGGTTTTTTTTTTTTTTTTTTTTTTTTTTTGCTTGAATATTATATATTATAAATTTATAATTAATAATACAAGTACAGAACAAAGTAGATTGATAAACTGAAGAAAGTAAATCATATGTCTACAAGCTACTGCTCTCTAGTGAATTTCTCCATCTTTGATACGGAAACTTTCACGCTATCTAAAGGGTGACGATTTTTGGAAGGATGAGGGGCCATATGTTTCTTTTGTACTGAGAATCCATTTAGCTGTTTAATCAATGCTTCTTTTCTTTTTGCATATCTTACTAGCTTGGAGGAATCTGATTCCAGATAAAAAGTAATATTGACTTGATGGCAACTATTGATACTGTTGTTCACTTTGTGACGTTGACTACTGTATGAACTCAGGGGGTCTAAGATCTTTTCGACTTTTGTGACTTTCTTGAAGAGCAAGGATGCGAATGATGGGTCTGAACAAGCTCTGCTTGTGGAATTGAAGGCACTAGATGACCATCTCAAATCTCATGTATGCTTAAAGACTAATGATTTTACTATTTCAATCTATTTGGGGTTGGATAATTAACATTTTGGTTTCTTGTTATTTGTTAGGGACCGTACGTGTGTGGACAGAAAGTTACTGCTGTTGATTTGAGCCTAGCACCGAAGCTCTACCATCTTGAGGTAGCCCTTGGCCACTTTAAGAAATGGTCTGTTCCTGAAAACTTATCTTGTGTTCGTGAATACATGAAGGTGAGAGTTCCTTTATAATTGTTGGCAAGTGATATTCATTACATGTTCATTGGTAGTCTTCCCATCCTTTGAAATTGCTATACCTGTATTTTGCTAGTTTTTGTACTATGTACTTCACCAACTTATCAGACTTTAGTTGCTTCAGTTCTAAGGTTTATGTTTATGTCTTTTTTTTTTTTTTTTTTTTTTTTGTATATGAATTACCTAACTTGTGATATGATTGAGCTTTTGAGTGGCCTGGTAACTAGGTCAAAATAATGTAGTCCTGTTTGAGGTGATGTTAATACCACTATATAATCCTAGTTGCCTATCAAATCCAAATTATTATATGATTATCCTGGTTTCTAACTTGTGATATGATTGAGCTTTTGAGTGGCTCTGGTAACTAGGTTAAAATAATGTAGTCCTGTTTGAGGTGATGTTAATTCCACTATATAAACCTACTTGCCTATCAATTCCAAATTATTATATGATTATCCTGGTTTCTAATGCAGATAAAGGTCCCTTCATTTTTATTGATCACTGTGATCCCCCAATAATGTTGGCAAGTCACTGTGAAAAAGCATTTTCTTAATGTTTTGATATTTTCTCTTTTTCAAACCCCTAAATTTGCTTATGTATATCCTACAAGATATATGCTGATTATTCCCACACAGTTGATCCGTATTCTATTTTCTGTCGTCTATTAACAATATCTCTGCTGATTATCATGTATGTAGCACTAAATTAATGCTTTGCAACATTTGCGAAGTGTGATGGTGGATAAGTACCATACTGAATTATATGTTGGACGTGTTTTTTTGTCATCCTCCCTCTCTTTAGTACTTGTGGAATGTGCATCTGCATCAGCCCTTGCTTGTAACAATCAGCCAAATCCCTAAAATGCTCGTTATAGGAAGTTCAATATGTTGAATTGTTGATAGGTAACACTCACAGAAGTCTTGATACGAAAAAAAAACAACGAGATAAACTTTGAGTTGCTTCAAAAGCTTGATGGTAAGATTCAGTGTTAATTATAAGGGTCTATTATAAGGGTCTAGTATAAGTCAATGACTGCTGGAAGTAATAATGGGGAGTTTTTATCCTGAACCATTCCTCCATATGCTACTCTTAGAACATTAAACCTTATGTTGGGACTAAATGTTGGTTGGAGGGTATATAGAGAGCTGAAATTTTTGTATATCTGTATTCTATGTAGAAAATTAAATTGGAAATGAAGGCTGCTGTGTAGTTTTTAACCTACAGAAACAAAATATAAAAAGAAGCCAAAAGACTGCACACATGATAATGGAGGAAAAGAAGCAGTGACTAAATTACGAAGTACAAAGTACATTTAAAAAAATGACAAACTTCATTTTATCTTTATATAACAAGGAGTACAGAATTGTAGAAATGACCGTTCATGGAGAAGTATTGTATTGCTAGCCAAAAAAAAAAAAAAAAAAAAAACTGGCATACACACTTTATAGTTTATACTATGAATACAATTCTATTTAGTTTCAATTGCTGCTATTGGCATTGTTGCATGTGCAACGTTCCATATGAATATATGATAATCTTCCATTATTGTCTTCTACCCCTTAATATTAAGCAGAAACACTACTATAACTAAGCTAGCATGAATCTTGATAGGCAGTTTCTGCTGGTTGGTTTTCATATCATCATCATCACCAATTTGCTTGATGCTCTTTGCTTTAACATGATGTTGCAAGGTTTTTCTTGAATAGATATGCTAATTATTTGAACTTGTCACTTTCTAATTTACAAAATAGCTATGAAGGGTGACATCCATTTGAATCTAGTTCATCTTTTGAAGAATTTGCTCGTATGTCATTTAGTTATCCTCCGGGGCTCCGGTTTTCTGATTAGCTGGTTTATGATATTGCAGTTACTCTTTGCTCGTGAGTCTTTTGAGAAAACCAAAGCAGCCAAAGAACATGTGATTGCTGGTTGGGCACCAAAGGTGAATGCATGAATCTGTATCAGTAGATACTGAACTAAATACTAGCATTATTGAGGTTAATGTTGAAATAAAACGCATTAGCACGAAGCTTATGAATTGGTGCAGGGATGTTGCTCCAATGCTTGTCACCAAAACATCATTTTGAATACTAATGCACATAATATGTGGTTTGTCACTTTGTTGTAGTGTGTTCTTGCTCTCTATTTTTGCCTTTTCCGTCATGATTTTCGTCTGCCAAGGAGGGGTCCGGTGTGGTTTAGTACTCTAGTTTGTTTACTCGGAATTTCTGAACTGCTTTAGAAGGCAAAAGCTTTAATCCCGATTCAGGGCTTATCTATAATGTTAGCACTCATTGATGAGACATAATAGCGTAATTTGAATCTACCTGAAGTTGCTTGGAGAAATACATAGGAATAATAGCTTGGTTAAGAATGTAGAAGAGTATATATAGACTGCAACAGAACGTTGATTGTTCTCATTGTAACAGTGGTAGATCTGGGCTGTGTTCAACTGTAGGTGAATAAGTGGGTTTTGAGGGAAATGTTTATGCCACTGAATCACTGATGAAGGACTGCTGGTTATACGTAGTAGTATATGATTTGTGCTTGGGTTGTTTCTATGACGAAATTGTTCTTGGGTTAGTCAAAATATCCAATACGTCCAAACAACATATCACATATGCACGCATAAATTTAAAATTGAAAAATAACTTTATGATTTACCCATTTTTGTCATGCATATAATTCGTTTGCGTTTTTACAATATGCCCTATAAAATGAGCATTTATTTAGTAAAAAATATGAATATGTGAAGAAAAAAAATGAACAGTCAGTGTGTGTGTGTGAGAATAAGTCTAACTCTCCATGTGAGAATCCTTTAATATGTGAGAATCGTTGCCTATTTGACAAATGCACAAAGAATTTCATGAATATAAAAAAATACTATGGAAAACTTTTAGAAACAAAGTTTAAAGATAATGAAAAATTAAAATCAAATATCTAAATGTATATTATTTTAGGAAATTATCAATAGTACACCCTAAGTTTGGGCTTTTATTAATGATACACACCTTAACTTTCAGTTATCAATAGTACTCCTATACTTCAACTAATTAAGTACGGTAAACATTCCGTTTACGAAACATTAACAATAGATTAATGACTTACAATTTTAACCAATTTTAACTCCCTCCTAAATTTTCCTCCTATATTTAAAGTAACCTACTCGCCTCTAACATTATATTAACGAAGTCCCTTCATTTGCTTATATTTATGCAGCTTCTTTTCCTACATTTGGTACTCAAATGAGCCAAATGAAGAAGCTTCATAAATCAGAACAAATGAGGGGGTTCGTATATAAGATAGAAATAGGTGGGTAAGTGGGTTACTTTAATTGGAATTTGGTATTCAAAAAATGGGGGCGGTTGAATTTTTGTACCCGTTTAAAACTTTATTTTATTTTGGTACCCATTTAACTTAAAAACTATAGATTTTGGTACCTCCGTTAAGTTTTCCGTTAGGGGGGTTCTGCCACCTTCCATCCACCCCTTAGCCATGTAACAACCACACACGCAATCACCTCATCTCGCCACCACACCACCACCATCAAAATTACCCCCTTGCACGTAGCCACCTCGTCTCTCCACCACACCACTGCCACCTAAACTACCCCCTTGCACGCAACCACACACCGCCGCACAACTGCCCTCCAAAACAGCCAACAACACTACCCACTTGCATGCAGTGACGCAGCCATAGGCGGTTCTGGGCCGGAGCTAGGTGGTCGACGGAACAGGGCCCCCAAATTTAAGGGGCCCCAAAATCTAGATATATGTAATTAAGTTTGGTACAAAATCATGAAATTGCAGTTGGTGTAGTGGTTAGAGCAATTGTGTTGTATGTACAAGGTCTTGGGTTCGAGCCATGCATGATACAATTTTTTAATTTTTTTTGGGAACTGCAGCAAACCCATCTAATTCCCAAATTCTTTTCCCAAAAATTCAGATTTCTTTTTTCCCAAATTTTTTTTCAATCTACTATTCTAATTCCAAAAAAACTCTATATCTTCTAAAACTCTATTAATCTCCCAAATTTTCCTATATATGCATTTTATTTACTTTTTCAATTTTACAAATAAAAAAGAAATCTTTAAGATAATCTTAATTCCAAAGTTCTTTGCAAGTATCGTGAGTAAAGGCTATAGCTAGTAATTGGAAAAAATTTCATCACAAACCTCTTCGAATTCAACACCGGATACGATTTTTTGATATTTGGGTATGTTGAATTATTTCCTGCTGTTTAATTTAAGTGCATTTTTCTGATTTTTATTAACTTGCAATTTTAGAAGGCATTTATGTTGAAACAATTTCATCACAAACCTCTTCGGATTCAACATCGGATCGATTAGAAGGCCCCATTTTAAAAAGTTGAACAGGGCCCCATAAATAATTTGCAATTTTAGCCCCGGCACTAGACGCAGCCACCTCCAATTCGCTACCACACCACCGCCACTACAACTACCCCCTTGCACGCATGACGTAGCCACCGCATCCCAGTCACCAAAAGCAGCCGAACACACTCCAGCTGCCATCACCACCATTTGAAACTCCCGTTCACCTCCAATTCGCGCATCACCAGCAAAACCAACTTGAAATAACCCAGAAAACCACCCGTTTCTGGGTTATTTAAATACCCTAAACGGGTTTTGTTTTTCGAGTTGTTTCAGGTGGGTTTTAAGGTTTCAAGGGGCGGCGAAAAGAGGCAAAAAAGGGAGGGTGGTTGTTTAGGGGGAGGGACGAGGTCGGCGAACAAGGGAGGAGGTTGTTTTCGGCGAATGGTGGTTATTTTGGAGGGCAATTGTGGCTGAGATCGGAGGAGGGAAAGGGAGGAAGTGGGCTTGCCGGTGCCAGAGGAATATTTGGGCACCGGAAGCCAGCACGAGGTGGGGGGAGGGTCGTGGCTGACGGGAGGGGTGGTAGTGGGTGGTTGGTTTTTTTTTTATTATTATTTTTTTAAAAGTTATTTATTTATTTTTTCAAATTAAATTATTAAATAATTAGATAATGGGCCCCACTAAACTTAACGATATATGGACGGAGGTACCAAAACCTATATTTTGTGACTTTGATGAGTACCAAAATAAAATGAAGTTTTAAACGGGTACCAAAATTCAACAACCCCCATTTTCTAGGTACCAAAATTCAATTTTTCCTTACTTTAAATATAGATTGGATAAAAAAAAAGAGGGATTTAAAATTGGTCAAAATTGCAAGTCATTAACCTGTTATTAACGTTTAATTAATAGAATGCTTACTGTAGATAATTAGTTGCAAGTACAGGTGTACGTTGATTAGGGATGAAAGTTCGGCTTTCCGTTTGGTTTATTGTCCAAACCGAAACTGAACCACTTTATTTCGGTTTTTGGATTTTGCAAATCGCACCGCACCACTTTAGCTTTGAAATCGAACCAGACCCAACCACCTAAATTTCGGTTTTCTTGAAAAAAAACCAAACTGCACCGATCAAAACCTAACAAATATCATAAACATCAAATTTTGCAAAAAAAACCAAAGAATCATAAACATCCTTTTTGCTCACTCTTCTTTTTTCAGATTTTGAGATATTTCGTCAGCCTCTTGTTCAATTTGAGGCTCGTCTACACCTCCCACATTGATTGCCATTGGTTTAGGACATATAAAAAAAAAAAAAAAAAAACACAAATCAATTTGCAAATTCGCAAGTAAAAACTAAAAAGTCATGCAATTGAACAATTAAGCTTAGCAAGTTAGCAAATAGGCGAAATTGCAATTAAATCGCAGGTAAAAAGATTCACAGCATACCTTTGGACGGTGAATGTGGATGGCCATCGATGGTCAGTGGACGGTCTCCGGTAGACTGAGCAACTGAGGGCCTGTTTTCATTGACTGAACTCAGCTGAACTGAACGAAACTGAACTGAGATGAGCTGAACTGAACTGAGCTGAACTGAACTGAACTGAATGATTATTTATTATTATACATATGTGTATATTATTATTAAATATTATTATTATTATTATTATTAAATATTATTATTGTTAATAGATATTATTATTATTAAATTTTATTATTAAATATTATTATTATTAAATATTATTATTATTATTAAATATTATTATTATTAAATATTATTATTATTATTAAATGTTATTATTAAATATTATTATTATTATTAAATATTAGTATTATTATTAATTATTATTATTATTATTATTATTATTATTATTATCGTTGTTGTAATAAGAGCTTAAAAGAATGAAATTTGGTTTTATATCATTAGACATAAAATGAACTGAACTGAACTGAACTGAAAATAAACGTATGCGAATAGGGCCTGAGTGGAGTTACTAGAATATGAGAGTTAGAGAGGGTGAGAGGCTGAGATAGATTAAGTTTTTTATTTTCTTTATATACTATGGCATAAACTAGAATTGGGCTTAGGTTTTATTTGGGGTTTGGGCCAGCAATTCGGTTCGGTTTCAGTCTTTCAATTTCTGAAACCAAAATCGCACCATAAATATTTCGATTTCTTGATTTTGCAAACCGCATTGAACTACTTAAAAAAAAAAAAAAAAAACCAAACCATATTTCTAATTCAGTTTTGTTTGGTTTTAAACCAAATTACATTCACCCCTATAGTTGATAATTAAAATGTAAGCAGGTGTATGATTGATAAAAGCCCAAACTTGGGGTGTATGAATGGTATTTTCCCTATTATTTTTGCAATGCAGCTATTATGTTTTGTGACAAGTTGATAGCTAATTAAATACATACAAGTTTATAGCTTAATTTGACCATACAATTAAAGTCAATATTGATGTATTGTAATTTGTAAACAAAAGCTCATGATAGTGACCAAAAGACAGTTTTAATGACCCTACAATTTTAAGCTTCATTTATTACATTCTAATAATTGGTATATATTGTACAGTATTTAGTTTGATTGTAACAGTAACGAATTTGACAACCCATCCAAAATTACAAAGAAAATTTAGCCCAATTTTTTTTTTTGATGTTTTTCATTTTGAGATTCCTTGAGTCCCCACATGTCGTCCTCTCAAGCACCGCCCTTTTGTTAGTACTCCACGTGCTATCACTTAACCGTACTATTAGACATGTTCAAGAATGACTTAATTTGA